GCTTGAACATTAAAAATGGCATGGAAAATCAAACTATATAAGAGTTTAAGATTAATTGTAAAAAAACGAAGATAATTTTTAAATTATTCTTATACACGATTTCACTTGTCGTAATGTTTGTAACTTTAATTGAAATCACTAGTTGTCAATCTATATTTTCTCAATAAATATACAACATACGTCGCGCGATTTGTGTAGCGGACTTCCTTCCTTGACAGCCCAACTTTCGCCTCTTCTGTATAGCCACACCCCGAGAAGACTTTTCCCTGATCCACTCATAATGACTTTTGTGACAAATGAATTTATGAATCACCGAGAGAGGATACTTTTTGTCGATGTTCGTTTATGAATAAGATTTAGCTCTTATGTTTAGCTCTGATGACGCGATAGATAGTTTCGCGATTAACGATTCGCTGTCTTTAAAGAAACGAGCAACAGTGTGCCGGTACCATCTCTAAGATCCTCTTAAGACCTCGGTCTCCCCGTTTGCGCTTGTCCTTCTCAATGACGATCTCGCCGTGGCTGGGCGGCGCACGGCGGCATCAGCGATTCTCATTGGTCGGATAAAACTTCTCATGGGGTTGAAGACAAGTGTTGGCTCACCCCCGTTTAGTAAGTGGTGCCCATCTTCAAATGTATTCTTCATGAGTGACGTCACTGGAGCCTACGGGGCGGACGATGCGAGCACCGGTAATAAGCGCGCAAGAATTGCAAAGTTTCCAATAAATGAAATGCAACACAATACGTTTCTATTTTTACAATGAATTTTTACTCAAGAAACAAGAAGTAGCGTTCTTCTCGTTTACTTAACAGATAGAAAAGAATGAGATATATATTTCATTAACAATAAGTTGATACCGAAAAAACATTTAACATTGAGAAATATACTTATTAATTATAATTATTAATTATATAATTTATATAAAATACAACCATAGAATTTTATTTATTTTAAATATTACGTTTTTATTATTACATTGACAATGTAATTCCGATTACATATTGATGAACGAAATATTTTATGTATCTATATATTATAGTTGTAAATTATTTTTATATTTTAAAATTATTTAAAAAATATTCAATTATACCTACATTTGCTATAAAAACTATACATTGCATATTTCAGAAATATTTAAAATATAGATTTCATCATATTATAAACAGAACATTAATAAGAGCGCCTTCTTTTTAAAATATTGTGTGGAAATTATAGTGCATTGACGTTTCTGTCATTAAAATATATTTAATGCATGCAGAGCAAAATTATATATGCCGCAATAAAAAAATCGTAATATTAAATAGAAAGCTGTCGAGGGACCGACTTCCTATCCAGGGAAGAAGCTTTTTCGACGGTAATTTCTCATTCTTCAGATTCTGTTCCGAAACAAAGAGACTGTTTAATAAAAGCTCAAACGTTCGAGGAGTACTCCCACTCGAGAAAAGTAGATGCGGCACATTACGAGTGGTCCATCACTTACCACTATCAGCTGCCGCAACGCAGTTTCACCCTCGGAAAATTATACCAAGTGTTTCACCGGCATTAAGCGAGATTGAGAGTATCGTTCGATCCTGGCTTGTGATACTCCTTTATCGAAATGCGTTTGCAGACGGTTGATTTCTAGAAGATGTTTTTCGCGAGAGGGGACGCTTTTTGGCACTGGTAATCATTTATTATTCAATCAATTTAATTCACCAACGATTTTGTTAACCCTATTGCCGAATGCGTTGTGAAATTTTTTGTTCTCATCAATGACAACGCTACAAAGATAGCTAGTATTTAAGAATTGAGAGATTCGGAGAGCCTCGGTCCTCGTGAAACTGCAAGACCGGTCTGCATAACGCAATCTTACGTCACCCGCATTTCGTGACACTGATGACACGAGATATCCTTTACTGCCGTGATGACAATGAAGTTGAAAGAGTACGACATAGTTATTAGCTGCAATATGTTGACGACAAGAGATCGCTTATAGAATCAAACAGAAAATTTGTAATGGGATATGCCAGATAACACTAATTTAGTCTCTATCTCCTATCCTGTTACAAAGGGCACTAGGTCAAGTCAAAGCAGTCGATACTATTAATTTTTTTGTCTCGTATTATCTGAATTTTTCCTTGAGGGTATATTAACAAAGTTATTTTATTTATTGTGTAATAAAAACTTAATTGCTGCAGCTTCAAATTATATCTATATATTGGGTCGAAATAAAAGTTCGTAACCCTATTTCATTTGCATTATGTCTATTGTCCGTATTCATAGTCAGATCTTATATTTAAGGCTTCCTTAAATTTATCTTCAGATGCGTTCAACGAATTATTTTTTTTTACTACTGAGCATCTAAAGATAAATTTAAGGAAGCCTTAAATATAAGACCTGACTATGTGAATACAGACCTATATGTTTAAAAAAAAAATTAACAATATACCATTTGATAAAACAAAGTTTCAGCCGTTATATTAAAAAAATGAATGATTGTGATAATGAAGATGCTTTTGAAGTTCGCGAAAGATGAACATATCCGGATTATGTCCAGTATCTTGATGAAGACAACAATGTGCCAACAAGAGCAGTTAATAATGTTTTTCCAGTTTTGGAAAGCTTCAATAAGGAATAGGAAGCTAAGGAGAGATAAAGTTCATATCTTCGCCAGAATTCAATTTAACAGTTAAAACATTTATTATTCAGTGAATGTCTCACTCTTCTGTCGATTAATATATGACATGACTATTCAAGCGGGACCCAAAATAGGCATGGTTCTTTTATTTTCAATAAAATTACAGTTACTTGAATTTTGAAATTCGTATAGCGCTACGAACTTTTGTTCCAACTCATGTGACCCAGATATACATTGATCTCTCCTTTTAAATATTTATAATCTAATAATTAGGTTAGAAGCTACAAATGGAAATATTATTTATTAAAAAGACATACAATTATATTTGCGATGTGTATTCCAAATTATTATTTTATAATTTCTTTTGTTCCTCGTATAATTACATTTTATTATTTATTATTATTATTATTATTATTATTATTTATTATTTATTATACAATCTGTTACACATTCATATTATATCTTCAACATACAATCTGAAGGTTTTTAACATGCTTTCTATTCTTGGTATTTTCTGTCCTACGTTTTTATTACATTTTCATTATATTGCTGTCTTTTGACATCGATAGCCTGTTGCTTCACTTTCGCGAGACGCGTTCTTCCTTAAAGCTTTCCAAGGATATGTCTCTTCGAGAAAATCGGCTGAAATTTTTTAATCGATCGAAATGGCCAAGCGCACAGAAAGTTCTCGCGAAGGAAAATATAATGACTATTTCGAACAGCAAACAGTAAGACCTTTTCCGAACGGCCTCTCAGTACAAATAATAAGAGAAATGATCGATGATTCTAGATTCTCCAAGAGCGGATGTAAGAAAAATAGTTGTGAGGGATTGTAAAACGACGCAGCTGGTGGAATTGCGAACAGACATGCGAAAAATGTAATCATAATGTAATTTGATTTTGGTGATACGTCGATTACTTCAATTCTTGTCTCGGAATTTTCTACAATTACAAAATAAATTAAATATCAAACAATAAAATAAATAAAAATATCTTTACGCAAAGGATACCTCTATTGTCTCTTAACAAATGAAAATATCAATAATAAAAGGATCAGTGCAATAAACAGTGATTTATACAAATCACATTTGTTTCAGCCACCAATTCAAGCCATCCTCAGCAGTATCAATAATTAATATAATTACAATTAACAATATTTCTATTTCGTTTTGATACGTCACTATGTATTCAACTGCGATTCAAAAGAGCGAGACATTCAACTTCATTGAATCTAAACGTTGCTTAAACTGTTCAACTCCATTGGAATTAACTCAGCTACAATATTTTAATTATTTCAATAAAATTGATAATTAAAAAATAACAAGTATTTTTACTTTAACATAGAATTTTATGTCAATATTTCATGGGCATTTTTAACAGCAACAAATTTATTGCTGCCAAAATGTTGTTATATATAATGATTGTTAAAAATACCTATAAAATGTACCTGTGAAATGAAATTGATTTTATTCCAATCTAGTTTAACAGTTTGATTTATTTTAATCGTAAAGAGTTTTGGGATTAATGTATAACATGAGTTTATTGATTGATGTTTTGAAAAATATCAATTGAATACATTAAAAACGGATATTTCCGATCAATCCGAATGCTAGTAGAAGATGAATCTTTACTGCAGCATGAATGTATAAGCGCAAAACATCGATTGCGAGATGGTTGTAAAATATTTAGCCGCCTCTCCGGTATTTTATATAGTGGCTCCGCGTGTTCTCCGATGCGAATTCCAAGCTACTCCAGAAGATACGAGTGTAAACTGCCGAGAGTTTATGTGCCCAGCTGATAAATGTTTCATTGCGCAATGTTTCATTATCAACCAGCGACGCGCTAGACCCACAAATGTTCGGACAGAGACCTATTTTGGTACATTTTCATAGAATACATGTAGTCACCTCATAATTTCTACAATGCTTTTCATAAATATTCGAAAATTAATTAAAGAATCTTTTTATCACACTAAAACATATAATTTTGTAATAAAATTCTCGTTTCAAAAATGGAATATATTGATTAAATAATCGTGTTTTAATTATCTCAGTTTGAATATAATGATTCAGAATTCAGAACAATTAAATCTTTTAATTGATTTGCATATATATAACTTTTATTTAACAACCGTTGGATTTTAACTTCTATTTGTTTAATGTATAAATCATGTTTTATATATTGTGGACGCTGCATTTAGAAGTAAATGCAAGACGAGAATACGCAGCCAAACATTCACCCTCCAATTCTCTCTCTCTCTCTGTCTCTTTCTTTCTCACTCAGGATCAACCCCCGTCCACCCTCGCGAATGAGCAGGCGCGCGACGTTCACCACGCAGGAATCAATAGGGGTTGCGTCGGGTTCGCGCGGCGTCGAAGCGACGTCGGCGACGACGTAAGCGACATCTCATCTTGTATTTCCTGGGGGTTGTGACGAGCTCTCCTGCAGGCCGTCACGGCCGCCCTCGGAACCGACCCCTGTTCTGAACCTCGCTCATCTTTGCGAACATCGCGATGGCTGACAGCGAATTTGAGGAATTCCGGCACTACTTCGAGAGGCTACCCCAACATCTGAAAGCACCGCTGTCCAACTACACGTGAGTACCCCCGTAGCGGATCTGCCTTCGGAACAGATGACACGATATGCGATATGATAAGAACCACAACGGTGACACACATAGGTCGCGACAAGAAAGACGGCGGTCGAGAATCAGGCCGAGAAGATAATTTGGACGGAAAATCAGGAGTACGAATTATGAAGATCAGTTTAGGAACTCATTAGAAACTGAAAAAAATGTATCGCAGATCAAATCTTGACCGTGTAGACTTGGCGAAACATGAAAGGTGTGATAATGTAGATTGTAGATAGCAAATCATGTTGATAAGATCGAAAGTTGATAAACGGGACTAATGTTTGAAAAATATTTTTAATTCCAGATATGTTATAAAATTGACGAAATTAAATAATCTGACTAAAATTAATTTAATGGACTGACTTTAATAAGTGATAAGATAGAATCTTCAATCGAAATTGATAATTCAAGGAGTCATAACTTCTTATTAATAGAATTAATAAGATAACTTAAATGTCGTTTAAAGATGAGTCATTTTAAATAGGAATTTCCCACGTCACTAAGTAACTTAATGTGACATCCTTTAATGTTCCTACTTTTGTATTATCATAAAATATTTTGATTTAAGGAATATTATATGTTTTTATATAAATATAGCAGTCTAGAATTTTCTTCTTAGATAAGACGTCTTATATAGAGTATTAAAGAATGTGAGGCTATACAAGAGCAACGTTATCGTCTGATCGTTTCCTATTTCTATTTAGAATAATGATAAAACGCTGCACTATGCATATAGTGTTACAAAGTGCACAAACATTTCTGATATGTACATTCGTGTCACTACTCAAGGGACTCATAAAATAGCATAGTAAAATGAGAATTCGTGAATGCATCCGATGCACTACCAGGCCGAAAAAGTCATAAAATCGCCAAGTCGCGCATCGGCATTATGTCTTTAAAATTATTGATCCTGGAACATAAGTGACATAAGAATACGAATACGACATGAGACTGCAATGCGATGTATGTATAGACAATTTTGACGGGTGTGATCTACAGCTTTCGTAGATGTATGCGTACATACATGTTACTTCTATTACCGCAAACAACTGATAATCCTATTTAGGTTGTATATTAGAGCGTTATATCTGCATAAGATGTAATTGCATAACTTTGCTTATAGCAATTGCTGTTACAACATAACATAGTTACGTACTTTGATCGCATTAAACATGAGATTTAGATCATCCTAATGAAAATATATATTTCAGATTCATAAATAGAAAAATAACATAAACAATACGCGTAATTACGAATGCATTTTCTATCATTCAAAAAAATGTGGTAATATAATTGATAACAAAGATCTTTCCATATTATTCACATTTTTGTATAGTCTCTTTACATTAAATCGTGTGATAGCACACGTATTATAGAATTATTCAGAATGGATTCCAATAGGAATTATTCCGTTTTTCTAGAGAGAAAGGGGGAAGGGGGAGGGGGAGGGAAGAGAGAGAGAGAGAGAGAGAGAAAATATAATAGAAAAAATATAATAGAAGAAAAAATATAATAGAATCTAAGGAATAATTGAATAATTCTAATCGAATCCATTCCTAACAATTTCATATTCTGATTGCAATATGTTTGCAATAAATTAGACGTGTCACTGTCCGCAGTTGATTCTATAAAAATAAAGCAAAATCAATAAGCGACAGTCTCGCATTTACAACTATTTCCGGTTTAATTTTCAATCTAGTTTGATTACATTTATAAACATAGTGAGAAATTAATAGGGGGGCCTTCTCTTAATTAATATCTGCAAAATTTATTTAAATGCAACTTTTATGATTCATAACATTAATGTAACTGAATGCGAAATGTACTCATTTGTCAATGTAACGCAAACATTCCCTTTCTTCTGAAGAGTGTTTGAAAAAATAGACGTGTTCCTAATGAGAGTTTCGACATTACAATGCTCTTGAATCATTCTTTCACAAATGAAATTTTATTCTGTTGTATGAATGAGATACAAGTGTTACTTGTAATTTTCGCTTTTTAATAATAATGAATTAATTATCACGAACATGATATAGAATTATTTGTATTTATACATATACTTATTTACATAATAAATAGAGCAATAGACAAAAATAAAAAGATAAGAGCATAAAAAACCACAGCACAAGTTATAGTTTGTGATATTTAATTATTATTACATTCATTAAAACATTAAATAAAAAGATATAATAAGAAAAAATATTCATAAATTCATAAATTAATTTTGATAAATAATTTTTTTTGTACTATTATTGTCAAACCGAGAAGAAGTCAATTCATTAATTCTATTTTATATGTTGTGACTATTGATATTATATTATTGGTAAGATTTTGATTCATTATTATTTTTTATTGAAAATTAAAAAAGATTTAAATACTAAGATTTACTATTGATTTGCAATAATTGCACATATTATTTATAGAAAATAAATAAATCATTATTTGTTATTATGCGAGTATTTTGCCTTCTCGTATAATTAGAAAAACGACTTGTCAGATACAGTTCATGTATTTTTTATTATCTCTATATGGCTGTTCATAATTTTCATGTAACTTTCGCGTATTTAACATTTGAATAGGCTCGTACATGATGTGATGATCGATGACTCGCCGACATCCTCGCAAGGAAGCGATGGAGAGGTCGGCAGATCTTGCGACGTCGTCACCGGCGATTCCGAGGACGAAGAAGTCGTCGTCATCCATCGTCACGACAACCAAAGCGGGCACACCACTCCTGATGACAGTGAGGAGCTGGATCATCATTGCTCTATCATAGCTGACAGCGATTTTAGGTTGGTAACGTCGTAAGTGTTTATTTCTTTATCACTAATTATTACCTTTGTAAACTTTTAATACGAAGGAAAGATTAGCGAAGAGTTTTATTTTTTATTGATAACTAACTTGTATAAAACTTGTAATACGTTGAATATTATATAACTTGTATAAAATTTGTAATACCTTGAATATTGCATTTTGATAAAAGATTTCCACGAATTCGAGGAAAGAAGACAAAAAATATTTAAAAGATTTAGAGCATGAGATAAAAAAAATGAGTTCACAGATTTATTAAAAGGGATAGAATATTCGCGGCAATTTAAGTTCTCGCCGAGAACAGAATTATATTTTTTGCGGAGGGAGGGAACTTTTTTCATAAGAATTTTTTTTATGACAAGTACAGTTATTATAATTTAGACTATGTTTCGCTTATATTATAAGTTTTCAGATGCAATTGTACTGCATCATTAATTTGCGCGTCGGTATCACCCACACACAGAGCGACGTGCATCATCGCATCCATAATAATCTACAGTATAGTATCGTCGTAATCTCATCGGTCTGACCTTGTTAAAAATAACTGAAGCTTTCAGAAATAGTCTCCGGGAGAGTTCGCGACGTGCAGCGTTGCTCGTAATTATTAATTAAACGTCGCCCAACCATAGCGGTTGGAAACTGTGTTGCATGCGGAGGATAGTTGACGCGCATTAATATGGCACTTTTTGAACTTTTAATACTTTCGGAGGGTTCTAATTATGCGTGGGTTTTCGTATCTATCTTATCTATTGCTGCGTCAATATACATTAATTTAAAGTCTTCTATTCTATATTACATAACAATTATGTACATACTAAGAAAATTTAAATCTTTTGATTATCTTTATTAAAATAAATAATACTGTTGTATAGCAAAGAATCCAGATTGCACGTTGCATGCATCCTACAATTTTATATATACGATACTTATAATTTTAATACGATAATTTGTATTATTCAACGTTTATTGTTAAAACATATATTATTAATTTTTCGCAGTAAACAATTTAATTTTTATTTAATTATTAAATTAAATCTCTCTCTCTTTTTCTCTATTAATCATAATTAACTTATTAAAATAATTTTAAGTATATGAAACACAGTAGTAAAACCTTGTATGCAAATAACACATTTATATTTTATTGCTTCTTTTCTTAATTTAGTCATAAAAATTCTTGACGTGGTGTTACGCACGAGATAAATTTTTTATCACCACCTCAATGAAGAGTATAAGAATTATTTTTTATGTATTTTTTCGAAGAATTAAAATAGGCAGCATGGAAAATAATAGTTTAGCTCACTGTACAATTAACCTTGGATGACATTAGCTTGTTCGGTGGACTGAGCAGCAGGGGTCGATCGGTAGGCGGTGGCGGACCAGGACCGGGCGGGGGTGGTACTACTATGTCTGGTAACGGAGGTCGAGATAGTGTCGTCAGCGATGTTGGGGATTCGTGTTCCAGTTTGAGCTCCTGGCCTACGCCGGAGCACGTGCCATCGAATCGACCTGGAAGTGGCGGCACCGAACGTAGACGTCGAAGACTGCCGGAAATTCCTAAAAACAAAAAATGTAAGGAAAGCTCGAATGCATAACTTATTTAATGATATTGATAACAAGAGATTTGACCGATACAGAATTCCTTTGCATTACATTTCGATCTTACATTCGACAGTTTCGATGACTGAACTGTTGTAACTTAATCACTACAATTTTTAGAAAAATACGAAACGTGAAAGAGAACAATTCATATGATAATTTACTAATGATGATAATAATAATAATGAAAAATTTATTAATAAGAATCCTTCAACGATGTATTGTCGAATTATTAACGAAATTTTTTAAAAATCACAGAGATCGATTAGATTTTTATCATACATTAAAAACTTTATTCCGTTATTAGAAATCTCTCTATTAGTATTTTATAATTTTTAGATATTATGTTACATAATTTATCTTGATTTGCACGGATTATGTACAAAATATTCATATTTTATGTAAAGTTATATCCACATAATTTTAATATTAAATGTATGATCTACCTTAATTATAATAAAATGAAGTAATCATAACTTTCACGATATATCTGAGAATTTGATTTGACGCGAAATCATTTATATATATAATGAATAGTAGTATGATAACAGCTGTATCATTTTTATCTGTCGCATCTGTTATCGGGTCGCGCATGCATTTTGCATATACAAATGAAACCAAGAAACTGTTCACCTTGTCGCAACTGCAGAGAAAAAAATCCAGATGTCTGCTTGCATCATGTCAACTCTACAAAAAGTATACGTAATAGAGTAGCATTTTTCATTTGCGATTTCGATAAACCGTTCTATTTCATGGAGATTGAGAGATACTTTTTATCTAAATATTATTTCATAAACGTGTTAACGTTTATGTGTTCACGTAGTGTTAGAATTTTTTGAAAAAGGAAAAAAATATCACCTTTGCGTGCAAAATGCACATTGATATTCTCCTACTGTTTCAGCTGTGCCCGTATGTCAGACGTCCATACAGACGTCGTCTTCGCTAGCAGACGAGTTGAGTGCCGCCACTGGCTCGACATCGACCCGGCCTCATCTTGTCTTAAGGAAATGTCATCCCAGACTCCGTCACGAGGACAGCTCGCCCGACAGCGAGAGGATGGCCACAGACAGCGGTCATTCTACCGCTCATTCTCCTGACAATGGCCCCAAGAGTGTGTCGCCCATACCATGTAATACCCTGCAGAATACAGACTCAGTGTCGCCCAGCAGCACCCCAGGTAATTACGATTATCCTCGAGAAATTGTATTTTCATCTTTATGTCAATTTACAAATTAACTGATTCAAACGTAGTTACGACACAGAATACACATTTCTTAGACAAAGTATTAATATCAATATTGTAATTACTAAATTAAAGAAATTATATTACAATTATAATTGCTAGATTTATAAATATCTTGTAAATTATTAATTTTTTGATATATCTCTATTTTAGTACTTTTTTATATGCAGAATAATTGAAACAAATCAATATAAAAAGATAAATATAGTAGGTTAACGAGTGTTAGCAATGATAAACGGCACAATTATTATTATTGATTTGAATAATCAATAATCAGATATTGGATCGATGTCTTCTTTATTTTAGAAATTAAGATCTGATGATTCTATTGTCTCAGTTCAGAAAAGTTATGAAAGTCAGGAATTGTTGTTCATGTCATAATTTTCTAATCGGAGTAACTCTCGAAGAAGAATCAATACTAGCTCGCTTTTTCATTCCAAAGGAAGCGGAGGCGTACCATTCACCCAACTGGAACTGCTCGAGGCAACGCATCGAGGTCTGCACAAATTCATATCGCGGCATCACGACGAAATTGATCTTGAAATTGGAGACCCCATATATGTGCAAAAAGAGGCTGATGACCTTTGGTGCGAAGGTGCGTAAACATATTTATTTCACAAGATGTCGAACTTGACTCAGCTTGACTCAGCAATAATCGGTATATACTTCCTTTTCTTGTTTAAAAAAATTGAGACAATTTCTTCGGATTTTTAACAATGACAATCTAATTATATTTTACGTGTATACGTATGTAAGGATTTATTTCATAATATAATATTACTAATTACTAATTATTCAATATTACACATTAAAGATAACTATTCTCAAACAGTAAATGTCTAGAAAACATAGATATTTAAAAGAGGAAGCCTTCATTTTTCAGCTATTTTATAAATATATTTAAACATATTCTGAATTTTTATTCTATGTAGCTGTCAATTTTTTAAATATGTTAAAGTAAGTGAAAATAAAATAAAATAGAGAAATATATGAAATTAACGCTATACTCGAATTAGTACCGACAAATTCTATCCTTCTGTTCTTCGCGATTAGGTGTGAATCTAAGGACAGGCCGGCAAGGTATCTTTCCGTCAGCTTACGCAGTCGACATGGATTACAGTGATTTTGATCCCACCGCGCCTAAAGTGAAGAGAGAAAGATATCTCCTAGGTTACCTAGGTTCGGTGGAAACCTTGGCACATAAGGGTACGGGAGTGGTTTGTCAGGCGGTGCGGAGAATCCTTCGCAACTCCTTGCAGGATCCACCTGTTTCACAGAGTTGCATTTTGGAAGTATCCGATCAGGGTCTTCGAATGGTCGATAGAAGCAAATCGCGAGTAAGTGTCTCTTTGCGATCGATAGAAATTTACTCACATGTGCAATATATTATTTAATTAACTTTTTTTTTAATCTCAGCAAGAGCTTCCAACTGTAACAAATAAGCTTTCGATAAACTCTATTTAAAAAAAAACTTATCACATTTTTTAATAAAAAATTTATAAAAAAATTATGTATAAAGCACTATATCTTATGCGCAAAACGTTATTTAATCATGACTAATTATTTATATATATATATATATTTATACAATTAGTTATTAATTTATTAATTTTTTAAATATTTAATATGCATTAAGAGATGAAAGAAGACATGAATACTGAAAGAAAAATAAGGAAGTCGTTAACAAGTTTTTAATTGCCAATATATTTTTAGAAAAATCAGGGTCCTTGTCACGATTATTTCTACTCGCTGAAGAATGTATCGTTTTGTGCGTTTCATCCTCGCGATCATCGCTACCTCGGCTTCATCACGAAGCACCCCACTCTGCAGAGGTTCGCTTGCCACGTGTTCATTGGTCAAGAATCCACGAGACCCGTTGCCGAAGCTGTCGGGTGAGTTCTTTTCTCCAAAAACTTTTTCATTATCATCGATAAAACTTGACATATCCTTATGTCACTTTGCGCAAAATCATTAATGTTAAAGTTTCCGATTATTTTATGGTAAACTTTTAAAATTATAATCAATATTATATTATTGCAATATTATATACATATATTATCATTTTATTATATTTGAATATTGTATTGTAATTAAAAGTTAGTAATATATTAAATTTTAAATTTAAATAAATTTTTTTAATTATAAATTTATAATTATAAATATCTTTCTCTAAATTTCTAAAAAAATTCTAGAAGTACGAATAATTCACTGTTCATATTATGTGGATGATAACTCGAGATTCTCTTCTTTTAGACGTGCTTTTCATCGGTTCTACACGAAATTCATCGAGACTGCTTTTCCGATAGAGGACATCTACATTGAATAAATTACTCTCAGTCTCATTTATAGTGGCTGCGAAGAAAATGTTAACTCTCACTTCCCCTTTTAACCCCTGTATATATCGCCCGCTAGTTGTAGATATAAAATAATAAATGCGAATCAAACACCCAATTTATACATATATTGAACATATGTATATCTATGTGTACGGAACATATTGGGAGTGCCACGATGAGCCTCCATTAATAGCATTATCTTGTTATCATTTTTTTATTCGCCATTCATTAGCGATCCTTTTCAATTTTGTGCGTGTAATTCAATATGAATTCTACATATATTAAACAGCGAGAAGAAATGATTTTTATCAAATAATATAATATTAATTACAAAATTTACTTTTATTTTACGAACATCGTATCAATTAAATTGGTGAAATATTGAATTAAAATATAATATCTTTTTAATGTCTGCCTTTATGTTAACGAACAGTGGTAGATCGAAAACAAAATTATCTAAGTGAATGAAGATAAATGTTGACGCTTTAATAGTTGAGAATTGATCTATTTTCAATTGCGAAGTTTCATTGCCGAAATTATATTTTTTCACAATTGAAAACAGAGCGACTTCCGCAAATTATTTTAACCGTTTAACCGCCAATGTTTCCAAGGATATCATTTCTGATATAAACCTAAGTATAAAATATTATTTTTTACTATATACTTGTTCAAAGTGCATATACTTGTATATATTAATTTTTAAAATAATGAAAATAATAAAAATATTATAAAAATTAATATTTAAAATACCTAAGTTTTATCGAAACAATCGTTAGTCGAAAGTAAATATGAAGAAATTGGGAGGTGTAAAACTAATTTTAATTTCAACAATAGTTTGGCAATTAGACGGTTAAATATGACGTGTTAAATATCCATCGCATAATCGAAAGGTATTATACCTTTTTGATTAGACCTCGTTCCTGTTCGTTAAAGACTCTCTAATAAGTAGATTTGGTAATCAATAGCGAATTAATTCCTAAAATCCCGATCCCACGACCAAGTTAATCCGCTTAGTGATGCATAGGAAGACGGGAATGACAATAGAAAATGAGAGAGTGTTGTATTATTCGGAGTTTAGCGAAAAATCGACAAATCGTAGTTAGATATGAGCGATTTGGGAAAAGAAGTGATGCTTAACTTTCGTCGCGTATCGGATGTGCTTTTTGCTGATGACATTCTTCACCGTAGCAACGAATAGTCATCTAGAACGATCTCCAACTGTATTGTTCTTATTGTTAGAAAACGACGTGGACACGCCGTTATTTAGAAACTCGTATATTTTTCTATCTTTCTTTGCGGCAGAGACTCACCGATCATAATAAGTTTCAGTGTACGAGACGAATCCCTCAAAGTTTATACTCTCGAATCTCTCCGCGCGAAAAAAAGGAAAAAAAAATTATAATATTATCGAAAAACGCACATGGGCCTCTGCATTTGAAGTATCATTATTGCGCTGCATCGCAACGTTTCTAGCGACTTATACAGAATATGAACCAAATTGCAAGTACGTACAGCTTCATTGCCGGAAATGCGAGACGATAGGAAAGTAGAAACGGAAAGCGATATCGCCTACGTGCAATAGAGACGAGCAGTATCATAACCGATGCCCTACCGCTTTCGATATCCATTTTAATTCGGTTTGCTATTTCACACTGCCTTTATCAGGACGTTGCGTACGCAGAGCGCGTATACGATGTCCCAGTCGAATATCCAGCATGAATTATCTATTATCAACGTTCATTAATGTTAAATTTTTAATATTAAAGCGCAGTTCATTGACAGAATCGATCGATGGTATTACAATTAATTTTAAATCGCTGCATGAACTGTTTCAATAATTTAGCAAAACATTGATACTCTCTAAAATGTTTTTTCATTCTCAAATATTTAGTTATTCCGAAAGGACTTATGGATTCCATGTTAGTTTTTTTTTATTATCACCAATACGGCATATTTTAGAGATTAATGAATTAAAATAATCATTAGAATCATTTTGCAATAAAATTTTGCGATTTCATAACTGGGATCTCCTATCCGCGCGGCAGGGTCTTGTCAATTTATGAATATCTCCTTGACAATATGAGCTCTGTGCGATGTCTTACTTGGGATTTGGTGCATGTTAGATAAGTACGACTCACACGCCTCGATTATACGGTATATTGAATAAAAATTGAGAGACAAATTACAGTGATTTCTCATTTTAGGAAGCTTTTATTTGTTGCGGTATACAAAACGTTTAAATATGCCTCGAAATGCTGTGCCTTTCCGATTATTTTCTCATAGAGCTACGATATCACTATCACTCACAAATCACCACTACTCTGACAGCAATTCCTTTCAAATCTCTTAAGGCACATCACTGAATGGAATAAAAAAGGTATGCGATGGAAACGAACGAGAATTTTTAATAAATTTATGTCCAAGTTTTTTGTCCATTAAATAATTAATGATAGCGATTACATAAACATATTAGAAATATTGATTGATTATAATTTTTTTATCTTTTTAGCATAATAAAAATTTGAATCTAACGGAAGAAGTTGTTTCGGCGATTATATAAATTAATCTGCAATTATTTATACAATAATTTATAATTATTTTTTTGCAAGTCTGTTAATTTAATGAAAAGAAAAGAAAAACTTGTGACGTTAATATTTTGAAACACGGTGTGATTCTTTTGTAGATTTGTAAGCGAAGACAAGAAGGGTTAAATATAAATTAAACGATGATCGATACTTTCACAATATTCATATAATTTCTACATATATTTCTTCCAGAGACAGTATTATTTACAAAAATGTTCCACCTTCCTGAAGTCTTAATAATTCAGTCTTGACATAATAACTGTACATGTACATGATCGTCCCCCATCATTATATTCCTTTATTTGTTACAATTATATATTTTTCTCTTTTTCATGTATGCACGCATACTTTTTTTTGCTATATATTAAATATAGAATAAGTTAGCCGAATTTATGCAAATTATATGTTAAGTTATTAATTCCCTTCGTTTATCAAAAACGAAAAATTCATCCAATTGAAAAACAAATTATTTTTTATTTACAATTTTCTTTGACGAGTTTTATCATGCGCAATTAATATTTCCTGAGCCAAATAAATACCTGTACCATTCCTAAGCGACTCGACCGTAAACATTTTTATAAATCTCTGCGCGATTTCTTTGAACTCGTCCGCAACATATGTATATTTTATGATTTTCGTTATCTTACATTTTCTCTTGGCAAGAATTATCCACCTCCAAGGTAAAGTAGAAAAAAGAGAAATAGAATACCTGTTTTTAACCCATATACATTGTGTTACGACGTCATAAGCCAACGATAATCGAATAATATTATAAATCTATTTTTACATTTTAATACAATCCACTCTTTATAAAAAATTCTAAATATATTAAAATATTCTGAACCTGTGTGCCTTCTGGCAGAATATACTACAATATAAAATAAAAAAATGCCAAACTTAAAATACAATATATAGAACCATGATAAGATCAGGGTGAGATGTATTATTTTTATATATAATATACATATACAAATATTACAAAAATAAAATAATAAAATAAAATCCAAGATAACATAAAATGAAAAATGAAAGCTACATGAAGGCGATGATGAAATTATAAAATAATTTGGCGGTGGATTTCTTACCGGAGTAGTTCGCAACGCAAATTACGTTCGACGTTTTTCTATCGGAATTTACATAGTGCTTAACAGCAAAAAACACTGAGATTATACATTAGAAAATTTTTTACAAACGTTTTCGCTCATTACAATTATCGGCCGGCTGAGACTCATTCGAAATAATTCACGTGCTCATATATGGGTCGTTCCATTAAAAATAATAAAGCTAATGTGTAAGAAATGTTAACTAATAATGTGTGAGCAATCTGCAGGAGAGGTAAGTATAAACTGTTTTTTGTTGTCCTATTATTTTATGAAAAACGCAACTCTTTTATTGTGCGCAATTTTCAACGAGCCATACACGTGAAAATTTAATCCTTGTGTCGGTATGCTTAGTGCAAGTATGATTAGTATCTGGGCATTTACAATATAACATTAATTATCTCATCTTTGTAATTGAACGAATAATCATATAGCTTATCCTGCACGTATATCTTGCCCGAATGCTGCAAATTAACATAAATTAAAGAGATAAAAAAGCACATTTGGACTCTCGATGTAATTTATAACAACTATTAAAAATAGTACGAGAGAGATACTTCTCGTCTCCAAGTAAGAATCTCCAAAATTTTCGTTTTTTAAAAAGCAATAACAGTCGAATTATACAATTCGATTCTATGAAAGTTTAAATGACACTGACGCATACCACACATTCTGTATTTAATATATCTATACATGTATGGAGGCGTATGAGAGGAAGGTACACAACCACACTTAATCGCCTTTGCTTTTGCTTCTTATAGAAAGAAATCGAAAAGCCACTTATGTGCAATCAGCAGAGTATAAAATATAATAACGCAATATATATATTTACAGCGGTATATAAAGTTGAACTTTATCTTAGCGTATAATGAACTGTAGAGCCGTCTGTGTTGCATTAGTATCCACTTCTTTCCAGTAAATATCGAGCAGCCGTCCGTTTTATATCTCTTTCTTAGTTATCTTAATATAAAGGAGTTTAGAGGATCAAATCTGTTTTCTTCTCAATCACTGTAATAATAATACCTTTTGACATATGCGATCATAATCACATAATTTAATTTTTTTCGGTATACATATCCGAGATAAAATTATGTGCATAATTTTATTCCGGAAAGATTTAGATGCCTCTACTCCATTCCGTAAGAATGAATGAATTCTTAAATGGCTACAATGCACAATGTGCCGTACAAATAGTGCAGTGACGCTTGGTTATCTTTTCAGAACTTATAATAGGTACTGTAGAATAGTATGGCGTATATTGTAAAAATTAATGATTATAATATTCGATTTTTTCCAATGACTTTTTGTCAATAATATCTTTTGAGTGATATTTCTCTTTATAAACGTACAGAAAATAACAAATATTGATTTCCAAAAATATTATCTTTATACTAAGAAAAACGGTCTGGTTGAATTAAATAATCTGATGAAAAATGGGCGAATTTTCTAGTTAAATCTACTAGAATTCTGATTGATATTCTGGTAAAAATAAGAATTCCAGTAAATTTTA